TAACTTCTTTGAAATGACTAATGTTTTGGCTAGCAATTCCTGTCCGTTCTCCAAACCTAAAATGTGCTTTGGTTGGAAATTTGTATGTTTACAATGTCAAGAAACTGACTAATTAGACTCAACAAAATTTTTTCAGCTCTGCACAATAGAATAGCATGCCCCTCTATAAACAAAAGTCGCTTAAAAGTCTATTGATTAATTATCTTTATTATTGCTGAGCTATTATTCACTATGTAACTGTCACTTTGTATATTTATGTTATTTCTATCAAACCTACGTCCAGATCATGCGCAGTTGATATAGAGCGAACTGAAACTAAATAACTTAAACGCGGTAAATACAAAGCTTTTAGATGCCTTCTTCTTAATATACCACAGTAGAATGCTTTGTGATTATACATCGAATACACAAAACTATATCTAGAGGAGAATGGTCGAATATGAAAGTTGCCAATCATGAAACTCCCGAAATTACCGCAACCATTTTTACGTGAATATGGTCAATTGCCAAGGGTTTATAATTATAATTAGATTTACAGAGACACATTTTATGGTCATATTCTCTATATAGTGATGAGTCTGGCTTGGACCATTAACTCTCCTAATTCTAAAATTTTATTTGCACCGTATTCATAATACTCAGCACTTCGCTTTGACGATTTAGGGCTTTCAAGCGAAACTTTTATGAACATAACCTAGTTTTATGTCTGCGATTGGGACTGATAAGTATATACCTACCAGTACCACTATATCCTTCAATTGTATCTGCAAACAACAGATTATAACCTTTCAGTTGTCTTTCAATTAATTTCAATAGCAAGTGATTCTTCAGAATTCTGTACCCCCAAAATATATTCTCAATAGTCAAACTTAATCATTGAACTTGAAGTTCTAACGAAAATTAGAATAAAAACATAGACAAGAAAAAAACGATATTTTTATTTTCAAAAATTAGTCACTTAATAACCGAATTAGAAATCCAAATAGCTTTATGTCACACTAACTTGTAAGCAACCTCCTGGCGTATACTGGTACTGGTTAGAACTCTAGGCTGGGTATCAAAGGTTCTGTGTTCAATCTCGGTTCACGTCACATCTCCAATGTTTCTCATTTTTTTCCATTCAATTTGCAAACTAAGTGAAATTGAATAAAATAACAAAAATAGAAAATATTCCTGAATGCTTTTTTTACGTTTATTCTTGTTATGAAATTCAACGCTAATATTCTGATTTGGGATATCCTTCAACAATAAATTTTATTTTTAAATATTTCTGTTGTTATAGAGAAAGTGTGTTTCTGAAAGGGGAGATTTTTAGGAGATATTAGTTTTTAGGTATAAAGATAAATAAGTAGATGGCCATGGCTTAATCTATGAGCCACTATACGAGTTATTATTGAAAAAATTATCAATTTCGACAGCATTAAATTTTCAGGGCTATGTGCTATTTTATTTCATTTTTTATCAATGGATAAGTTATGTTGTATCCATCTGTCAATAATTTTGAAATGCCACTGAGTCCTGATACCTTCGATGACTAATCCTTCCCCCTCTTCCACTATTTAGCGCATGTGTCTGATATTTTGTTGAAAACAATTTTTATTTTGAATCAACTGATATGACAAAGTTGAGAGCAACTACCAAAGATATTGAAAATAAATGAATCGTGAGAATTGACGAACTCTCTGCCATTCTATTCCAGATAATGCTCTTGGCTGAACTCATAAATCTATCTTTCAATCTTGGCCTCTTCCCAGAATTTTTCAAGACTTCCCTTGTGATCCCAATTCATAATCGGGAACTCCAGAAAAGGTTTTTATTCTGAAACAATATACTAAGCGGGGATCAATTTCAGGGACATATAAGCACAAATGATACCATAATTTTGCTAATAGCCAAAGCTTATAATCAAATTAATGAAAGTGAATCAGCTGCAGCAGTATTATGCGACTTAACTAAGGCCTTTGAATGCTTAAATCACCGAATTCTGCTGGACACACTACTTTGTGGTGGTTCAGGTCTTACCTGAAGGATTGTTACCAGTTGGTAAAAACTGACTACTATTCACTGATTGGAAATCCTAGGTGCAGTGTGCCCCAGAGTTCGGTATTGACACTATTTTAGTTTCATTGTACGTCAACGATATTTCTGATTTGAATATATATGGGAGGTTCGCGTTATTTGCAGATAATACCAAATGGTATCATCTGCGGGGGTCTAACACTGTATGTGTGTGTGTAGAGGTCCCTTCACAAAAAAATGATATTGTAAAACCAGAAATGTCCGTGAAAATGCACTTAGGGAATATTGCCTTTGTCAGTGAAATGGAAAGAAGTATAAAAACATTTATTATTCCCAAGAAACACGAATGTTTATATCATAGGTATGTGGACAAGTAAATCATTACTTGAACTATCAATAATGTAAGTAATGATACAACCTCTGCATTTTCTTTAAAATAGTAAGTATGAACTTGATGGTTCTTTCGTGGCTGTGCTTTCAGTTTATAGACGAAATTGGGATGAACAATTTTCTCTTCAACTTCAACATATTTTCATGTAGTTACTTCTGTAACATTCATATCAGTGCCCTTAAAATAAAATAATATTTCATCACTGAGAGAGAAAATTTGAGATAGTTCAAGTAAAGGAGTAACTGAAATACTTATATTGTGAAAGACATTCCATTTCATTGAAAATATAACTCAGAATGCAGAAAAAGTTTGTTGATTATCTAACATGGTTTTCGTTCATCTGCTTCAATGAAATGTAAAATATAAACTCCTTTGTGTCTAAAACTATTCAACGTATTTTCATCTCAAGTACCCCAGAGCAACCAACAATTTTTTTAAAGTTCCACAGATTTTTGAAATATGTTAAATCAGTATTCTTTGTGCTGTTCCTACTATACTGTGGTAATGTAGTAATACTCAACAAATTCAGTTCAAGTTTCAAAAGTGTTCATTATCATATGAAAAATATAGACACGAAATCCATCTTGATTTTAATCAGGTTGAAAATCTCTTCCCGTACCCTTTCAACTGTCTTTCGCCATGGGGGCGAGTGGTTCAAATCTGAGAGTGTTGTTTTGGTAACGACATAGAGGTAAATGACATCTATGCCGCTCTGGCCTTGTGTACCCCTTCCTGACTGGGGTATTGATGAAAAAAACTGTTCATTTTAACAGACGTCGTGGGGCCTTCACTCAACCGAGCGACGGGGCCATGAAAAATATAAACTTCATTGATGCAATAATATAGATTTGTTCTGGTTCTAACATCCGAAACTGTTTGGAAACTGCGCATGACGGTGCGTACAAGCAAAAAATCTCAAACAGTCCAAAATATTCTCGGACACTTGTTTAAACCAGAATGCTTTTGAGGAGACCACTGTGCCACCTATCGTATATATGAAGAGATGAAGACAAGAAAACACTATTAATCATGTCCATTTTATTATGTAGCGTATCCCTATAGTCAGTTCAAATGTTATCTACCCTCAATCATCAATTATTCAAATGAAATAAATAAAAAAACATCCTAGCAAATAGCCCAAACAAATTTCCACACGTCTTACCTTTTAACGTGTGATTCCTAACACGGTTAGGAATCACACGTTAATATAACGTTCAACCCAGCAGACTATTTAGTGAACCCTACTTCCGAGTGAAAATTTGAAAACATGGCATTGAGGGCACACTATAGCTAGCTACAGCTAGTAAGGGTAAGGTCTGAAAGAAACCAAATGCTAATTAATACTAACCGGCAGTTTTAACAGCGATTACCTAAAAATCATGAAGGAGTGGCTATTTTGGAACACATTCAATTGTCAAGTTTGAAGATAAATTTTTATTTATAACTTAGTTATTTCTGTCTATTGAGGAAGGAATAAAGAATTTGCTGGATTTTTAAAAGTACCTACTTTTAACGTCCGATGAATAGACTGTTATTGGCCGAGGACTGGTAGTTATATATGAGGTCCATAATCGTGCTATTCGAATTCAGTAAACAAGTTGAAGAACTTCACTGAAGTTGCTGGTTTTTGTACTGAAGCAGATAATATTGAATATATAATATAGACAAGGATTACAGTTATTCTGCTCTAGGTCTGAATTTGGTTTCCTCATATTATATTCATTATTGACATTTGTTTATCGTACAATATTTGCCGGTGCCTTAAGTCAACAATTTTTCATGAACACCACAGTGGCGGTTACTTTAGGAAACTTTCGTAACCAAGAATATTTCAGAGGCAAATTTATTTTAAATCTATAACATCGAAAATTGATCACAGAAGTCTAAATTTACAAAGGGGTGCTATGAAATGTCTTGAGAGGTTATGTTTGTTTTATATTTCTCTAACCTCTTAACACTATATCTAATATCTATCTATATTTTTTCTAATGTCAAGGACTTTGAACTCTATTTTCATTGAATGCGATACTTGATTGAACAATTCAAAGTTTATGTATAACCACAATTCATATCTAAATTACTTTTTTTATGTTATCTACCCTGCCCCGCTTACCTCAATCTATTTGCGTCACTAATTACTATCTAATCTACATTTACACTACATGATTTTAGTTTGAAAAATTTGGACTTGTGGGTACGTTGATCTGAAGTAAACAATTATTTTTCTCCTAGAAAAATATCAATAAAATGGCTCAAGGCTTACCAGATGCTGTATCTACAGATAATCCTGTTTTCCGAGCATATCTATTTTATTGTGGAATACTTATTTTGAAAATGATGTTGATGACCATATTAACTGCTAGGCAAAGGATCAAACACAAGGTGAGACTAATTCCAATAAGTGTTCACAAGTCATTTTTACTCACTTCGGTTTTGTTTTAGTAGGTACTTTAGAAAAAAAAGTTTATTTAATTCTATATTCTTTCGCTCAAAGTATTATACAGATTAGAAAACGAAACTCTCCTTGTTCAGATCAGCAAATGCTGACGCTCGTATGATTGAAGATAATCACAGACTGACCATCAATCTGGTCCTCATTAGATTGAGGACAATATACTGTGGTTTGTCATCCTTGAAGTGTGTTAATACTGAGTTATTATTCACTATGTGGTCACTTTGTATATTTATGTTATTTCTATCATAAAAAAAAGATATTATCAGTTGACAGTTTCATGTGAATAAAAGTTGTAAAAAAGTATTTAAATATTTTTGTGATATTGATTTTGTCATCCTTGAAGTGTGTTAATACTGAGTTATTATTCATTATGTGGTCACTTTGTATATTTAATGTTATTTCTATCATAAAAAAAAGATATTATCAGTTGACAGTTTCATGTGAATAAAAGTTGTAAAAAAGTATTTAAATATTTTTGTGATATTGAAAAAGTTCAGGGTGGATTATTCATTACAAGGAAATTCAAGCCCTGGTTGCAGAGCACAAACTCATTGACTGCCCCATTGCAGACCGGATCTGATTTTCAGCTACCCTACTTGTTTGTGTCTTCTGTCCAGATAAATCAATTAGGTAGGTTATCAAGTGCCTCAAAGTGGAAAACATTCTTTCCTGAGTGGACATTATCACTGGGAATATTAGTAATATGTCACATGTAACAAACATATTGTCGCAACTCAGTACTTGGTTGGCTATTAACAGGAGGATTTTATTCGCTGTTTCAGCCATTCATTCATTCATCCAAAATAATGAAAGAACTCATTTAAAACTTAAATAAACAGTTATTGCGAAGAAATGGAAAAAATAAACTTACACTCAAATATTAATAAAAAAAAACATTAAAACACCAAAAACTTACATTATACTGCCACCCAGCAGGATTGAAGAGAAGGAGATGTGCTGCAATGCAATATTTTCCATATTTGACAATATTGGGGTATAATTTCTGATCACACTTTGTCAAAGCTTGAATAGCACTTGTTAACCAATCAAACCAATTTCATCTGAACTTACTATGCTTTGAAACTAGGGTGAAATATAATTTTTTGGCCAGACAGGCATATCCTGATGGAAAATAGATTTAATTGTGATAGCTCCAAACTTATATTTGACAATTACTTATAAGTCAACTCCTAACATTTCAGTCAACATGTCCAATATATAGGGACCTCCAAATATCTCCAACACTCTCCTTATTTAGTGAGTCATTGATTGAGTATGCAGAGGCTGAACTCGTCTCTGTTTGAATCCTTTGTGAGTCAGAAACCATTTGTTTGGTTGATATAATATATTTGAGCTCAATATGCTTGCTGATTTTTTTCTAACAGAAAATTGTGCCTAACATCAATATGCTTCGTCCTAGCTGCCAATGGCATATGAAATATCCGGTCTCGAAATCTGTGCTGTAAAAAGGAATCTTCCCATAGCTTCCTGGTAAAGATTTTTCTTCATTTTCCCTGATTCTTCTGCAGATTGTGGATCTTTGAGAAGTTTTCATTGTTACTCATTGGTGTGGTTTGCAATGATCCATATTGAAACTCTTTGGTATTTCTTCTATGTACACTTCTTGACTGACCCAAATTTTATTATCACGATAGCGCTTCAACTGAAATACAAGAAAAAAAATGGCTTCTAGGTCAGTTATTTAGAATGTTTTCTTCAACTCAGATTTGATACTATTTTTCATGTTAATATTCGACAATATAAAAAGATCATCAACCCATACAGCTTAAATCAGCATTTTCTTCCCATCTACATTGAAATATACAGGAGTATCAAATTGAGCTCGATCAAGACACATTCTCTTCTTACATGAGTCCAATACAGGTCCAACACCCTACATAAAAATTCTATGATCATATCTGATAGCACAATGGAAGTTTCAAGCGGCAATTGGTAATTTTTCAAGGATGCGAATGCACAAAGTTCTATCAATGAAACACTTCTTTTTCGTTTTACGGTTTCTTTAATTGAAAATTAAATTTTGATAATTGCTTTTCTGAACAATATCTTGATCCAATTATTTTATGACTATGTGATTGATAAATGAGATAACTTTTGTGTTGTAATTCATAACTTTCTTAGAAAAACTTTACATATTTCAAATTGTATCACACTGAAAATATAGAAAAGAATATTAAACCAAGATTATATTTGCAATAGGTTACCGGAAAGATTGAAAAAATACAAAATTCCTAGAGAAATTTGTGTGAAATGAACTCACCCTATTGAAGATATTTGGTCACCAATTGTTTTTAGACTATCTAAAAAAACAAATTTTTTTATGTCATATTTTGAATATTGTTTTTCATTTTTCAAGCTGCACAACATGGCGTTTACAGATTTTCAATCCAACGATTCGTCTCCAAGAAACCACCAATTTTAATTTTTTATATGGACTGAAAAAAGAATCACCCAGTATAAGTTGACCTTTTTGGTGACAACTTTACTGATGTATCATCATAATTATATAATGAGTAAATTTTGAATCGTCATCTAAATAAGATTTAAAATGGCAAACTTTTTCCTAATTTCAACTTCATCTCATATGGTTTTTCGATTTTCCCATGCTGGAACTTTTTGTATCAGACATATTGTATATGTTTTAAAATTATTTCTAATTTGTTGTTTAATACACATTTTCATCAGAAGATTCAATTATATAGAGTTTTAATGTTTCTTGTCAACTTTTCCTACTACTTTGTGATGTAATGTTTTATTATATGCATATTTTTGTATGTACAAAAAATTTGAAAAATTTTCTTGATCTATTTCTCAATTTCCTTCAAACTAAAGACAAGGCAAATTCAACACCTGGGCCAGTATCAAAAATTCAATGCTGTAAACACAAAAAACAACATTTTTATTAATACAAAAGAACAAACTTATCCAATGAAATTGTTAACAATTAACTTGAAAATTGAACATTATACTCATATTCTAAGTTAGTAATAAAACTAATCGATTTTCAGTCTGTTTAATACAGAGTCTGACACTGTGAATTCGTACAGGGTGCTAATGCTAATCCTGAAGCGTGACAATCCTTGGATGATTTTAATTCTGAGATACAAGATGTTGAAATTTAAGAAAACATCATTTCTCCCCTAAAATCTATGAAACCTCTTCGGTTTTTGTAAATTTCGTACATTAATGTTTAAAGGTGGCGTCTCTGTTAACTTGCCATATTAAATTCTGATACCAAAATAATATATTGGAAGGCAACCTTGAGGTATATGAGAAGATGGATACCTTCAAATTAAGATATATTCATTTCAAGGTCAATTTTATTTTAAATCTTTATCATCGAAAATTGATCATAGAAGATGAAATTTACAAAGGGGATGCTATGAAATTCTTTAAAGTATATGTTTGTTTTATATTTTTCTAAACTCTAACGCCTTATCTAATATCCACCTAAATATTTTCAAAACGCTTTTCCCATTTTCCTATTATCAAGGACTTTGAACTCTACTTTCATGGAATGCGATACTCGATTGAACACTTCAAAGATCAAAATGTTTCTATAACCGTTTCACTAATAACCGCGGTCGTTGTGGTCGCCTCGAAAACGTCACTCATGACGTCATTACTTTCGCTCACGCAAGCTTACAACGACCCATCTGAAGGGGTGGGTCGAAGTGGACGTTGAGAATATTTCGGCGCAATTTTTGAAATATGACATTATTGTTATCTGTCATTCGTAATTCATTTTAAATTTCTTAACTTATTCCATTATTCAATCTCATAAGTAATCAATGGAATAAAAGTAATCTTTTGTTATTCTTGGACAACCAGGTACTACCTGAATTCATTTTGTTGAGACAGCACTGGCTCAAAGTTAATGAACCTTGTTATCTTCCGGGCTATGCAATAGCTTCTAAATACTGTAAAAAATTGTTAAATAATGGCGGAA